ATCCGAAAAAAGAGTAAGACAGATTCGGAGAAAAAAAAAAAAGGAACAAAGACACACATGTAATTGATGATTCATCGACCATGCCGCAATATCGAAAATTCTCAAAATGCTTCTATGGTTTGCTAAGAGAGAAATCGAATCTTCCAGCATTCACGATGTTTAAACTATGTATATACTGAATAGGTTTGCTTTTTTTTTTGTCTGTATACTGCTCACTTTCGATGTCGCGTCGCGGCCAGCTAAATATTGACTTCTGGTTATTTAATTTCTTTGTCACTTGTCATCAGAATTTCGTTGTCTGTCTTTATCTAGTAGCGATAAATAGAACGAAGTATCTAATAGAAAATACATAGTAATATGTAATAATAGTCGGAGCCTGATGATAAATTACATACGTAGATAATCGTGCAACGACTTACGATTGCTTATTTATTGGACCAACTGCTTTTCTGAATTTTTTGAAATTTCTATTATTAATGAGAATCCGGCTGTAATTTCTAAAAGCACGATGACTATTACAGCAAAAATGGTTGATTAGTAATGCCTGCGAAGTTCAACGTATTGTAGCAAGAGCTTTTATTAAAATTTTGGAAACTAAAATCGCTTGTATTCAAAATTTCATATCAATCGGAAATATTTTTCGGATGCTTTTCGGAACAATATGCCGTAACTATTCTCCAATGAAGGCACTCGGAGAAAGAGAAATTTGGAATAGCAAGGATAACGATCAAATATTACTTATTGGTTTTGTAGGAAGACATTTTCGATTACTTAACTATTGGGGAGCAATGAGTAAGCGATCAGCTAGCATGGCGTTGAAACGTATCGACGATGCGACACGACCGCACGTCTCCACGCTTTTCTATCGTCCTTTCGTCCCTTCGTGTCAATTGATCGCTGGACTGATCAAATAAAATCAACACGTTTTTATGAATCGTGGACAAAACGCGCGTACAGTATTTGAACGCTTTGGCGCGTGCTTGTATGCACCAGCTATTCAAGCTATCAGTCACAGCAGACACCCAGAGATTGAAAACGAAAATATATCGAGATTATGATAGCGCGTCGAAGATGGTTTATCAGTAAGATGACTATTAAGATTCGACACAGCCAGGATCAAATTTACCGCTGCGTTTTGAAAGAGTATAGACGTGAAACAATTCTATATTAGACGCAACTGATTCGACGTAATTATTTACAGATGAAGAAACTCTTTCCCGAGTTCGATGATTTTTGGAT